ATATAATCTCTCTCTCTCTCTATATATATATATCAATATATATACTGGTTGGTGGTTTGGAACATTTTTTATTTTCCACAAATATATGGATAATCCTTCCCATTGACTAATATTTTTCAAGATGGTTAAAACCACCAACCAGTATATATATATATATCATACAAATCCTCAACATGCGCAACGCAGGAGGTGCTTCGGTGACGATTTCAGGGTTTCATCCGGAACACATCACCGCTGTGTCCTTGTGCGGAACCAGGTGCCAGTCGGACCGAGCGTTTGAAAATCCCCAAAACTGGCGTGTGTTTGCGGCAGTTCAATCATGGGATATGGATGGATATGGGATTTTAATATATATTTTAATGGGGTATTTTAGTGGGGTATAGTTGGAAAATCCAAGAGAATCACATGTTCATTGGGATTAATCCATGGGTTTGGATCTAGAGGGGGTAACGGAAACCAACACACATAACTCGCTGGAGGGCATTACCTTTAAGGATTATCACAAAAGCTAGCGGTAGCTGGAGTTAGTCTTGCTTCAGCAAGGGGCAGGTCTGAGTCCGACACAGTGAGTTTTTCACTTACCCTCTGGTAATTTAATATAGCTATTGAAAATGGCAATTTATAGTGAGTTTTCCCATTAAAAATTGTGATTTTCCATAGCTATGTTAGTTTACCAGAGGGTAACCACTGCCGCCCAAGCTCCCGGGGCATTTTGAAGCGGTGTTGGAAGCAGATGGTCACGGGTTCCGCGGAGATAGTTGCTCTCGACCATCTGTCCTCACCATATCAAAGCCCCATCATGTTTCCAAGCTCAAATGAACCTTAGCTTTAGTTGCTTTAGTTCACCCCCCCTGGGCCTCGGTATTGGGTTTAGTTGGCGAATTTGTATGGGATCTATATCTTCTGCTGAAAACTCATGTCCAGAAGCCACCAACTTGCCATTTCATTCGATTTCCAATAGGAATATCATCAAGGCAGTAGTTTGCTCCATGGCAGCTTTCAGGGTGCCCAAAATTGAGATCGTTCCATGGGCTTGTCACTTAGTTATTAGGTTCAGATCTGATTCAGTTTTACCAGTACCCGCACGAGGCGTGGCAGAAGTTGCCTTAGGGTTGTACTGTAAGACCTTGTTCATCTATAGAACTTGCGTGCACCCTGTGCTACCCAGGCCCGCGCGCGTTCCTTGTGTGAAGCACACGCTCATGGTGCAATGCAACACCAAGCGACACTTTGCGCTACAAAGGGCACACTTGAAACTCCACCTTTCACACGCACGTTCCATACTTCACACTCCACACTTCACACTTCATCTAAGAATCTAAGCTCTTCTCACCTCATCTAAGCCCTCCACAGCTCCTCGCATCTCATCTGAGCACTGCTTATCCTTTCTCCTCTCAACGAAGCTCTTCTGAACTCATCTCAGCTCATCTCAGCTCTTCCCTCGTCTCAACTCTTCTCGCCTCTGCTCAGATCTGCTCGACACCTCTTCACTCTTTTGACCTCTTCTCAGCTCATCTCAACTCAACTCTCCTCTTCTCAACTCTAGTCAACATTTCTCCTGCCATTTCAATTTTTAGCTCAATGTGAAATACTTCCCGGTGCTACTTCGTACTCAGAAGCTTTTACACTTACACACACAAAGCTCTTACAAACAAGAAGCCTTTTGACACAGCCTTTAGAACGTACTTCCCAGTACTACTTCATACATCTTCGTACTACAAAGCTTGCACAAAGTACTTCCCACATCTTCCCACTATATACTACTTTCTACCATAAAGCTTGCACAAAACACTTCCCACCCAGTAGTACCTTGTACTACAAAGTTGTTACACAAAAACACTTTTACACACACAGAAATCTCTTACAAACAGAGGCTCTCACACACAGAAGCTTTTACACAGAGAAACTTTTACACAGAGAAGTTTTTTACACGCAGCACGCTTTTTACACACAGACAACTTTTACACACAGAAGCTTTTACACAGAGACGCTTTTACACAAAGAAGCTTTTACACGCAAAACCTTTCACACAGAAAAACTTTCTCGTACACAGTGGCAAGAGAAATTGCAGCTCCAAAACCGGATCTCAGCGCCACAGCGAAAAAAGGACGACTTTGAAGCACTTTTTAAAAGGACATTTGAAAGGAACATGAGTAGCGCCAAAACCCCAACAACCGACACCTCAAAAGCATCACCATAACCTTGGACACAGCCATGACAATGCGATCTGCACTGAAAAGTGGCAAAGCCGCCATGATATCTACGCCACGCACATGGCAATGCAACACTACGCTACACTATACCACACAAAACTAAACCTCACTACATGAGACCACACTACACTAGACATACTAGACCACACTACGCTAGACCGCACTGCACTAGACCACATTGCACTGCATTAGACACCAGGACACTAGACCATACTACATTATAGACTGCACTACACTACAGATCTGCATTACACTTTGTCCGTAACTCGGAAGATTGCTTCCCAACTTCCTTTGATTATTAGTTCTATAGTTATTTGGTGTGAATTTCTTTGTTCGGAACAGTCGGCTCCTTAAAGCTTCGTTGATAGAGTTCCTGGTGTCATTGATGCATTTTTTTGCCGATGGAGTAGCCTTCTGTAGTTTGCCATATAAAGCTTGATTGGTGGTTTCACATTTCTATCAGCTGACATTTTACATATTATAAAAGGTATTTTCCATCCCTACTAGACTGCCAAGGATGACTTTTTCCACCCAAGTTGTCACCAAGTGCGAGATTGACTCTGACCCAGATCCCCAAAATCAGACAGGTTGGTCATTTTTTCACTGTCCCCAACTTTTGCGGAGGATTGCATTTGTCTTATCATCTTCTATCACCACATTTGGCACATTTTTGACCCCTGGTCCACACCACCACTTTTGGCAAAAAACCAGCACATGTGGTTCCGCATGTGGTCACCATTTTTCCAACTTCCTCAACATTTAATCACCACTTTTCCCCATTTTCTCGCCACTTTTGTGGGTTTTCCAAGTGTTTTTCCGGCAGACGGCAGGGCTCCAGAGACGGCGACACCCACCTCAGAGACATCCCAAAGTGGAGGTCGCTGGAGTCAGGGCGGGTCCATCCAAGGATTTTTCCGGTATTTTTTGGGATGGTGTATGGTTAGTAGATACTTATAGATACATAGATGGTGTATGGTTATAGATCTATAAGTATCTATGGCGTATGGAAAAAATATCTACTAACCATACACCATCTATTTTTCATATCTTACTTATAGATACTTATAGATCTTATAGATACCGTATCAAGTCCATAAATCTGGAAAAAAAGGTGAAAAGTTATAGGTATCCACCAGATTTTTCCATTTTTTGTCATAAAGCGACCCGGAAACCCTATTTTTTTTCGTGATGAAGTATCTACATGGGGATGGGTCAAGTTAGTTACCGATGAAATTACCATATGACTGCCATATGACTGGGGGATACTGCAAAAGATACCATCACCATCATCATCTGGGTACCTGTCTTTTGACTCTTAGCCATATGAGTATATAAAACCTCATGAGATGTAATTACATTAATATAATATATAAATATATATATATACATATACGTATATATATATATACACATATATATATACTATTATATACTGTAATACATATGTACATGAATGGAATGTATATCATATCATGTATTTGTATCAAAACAGTTGATGAACATACTATTGGATGAAGCCATCAGCGATGATCTCCACATGTTGCATCCTCATCACACTTCAAGAAATGATTCTAAAATCGAAGGAGTTCTTAAAGAATCTTAGGTCGAGAATCAGAAGATCCTGTTTAATTTGGACCATTTTTTCTCTGGTTTTTCTTTGATTTTTGGAAATCCAAGCGGACAATGTCCCGTTGATCAACCGTTTTCGGGACTTCACAGATCCAGCCCCAAACATCAAACATCGAGCCAAAGAAGGTGAGAAAATCTTGGAAAAATGGTCACTTAAATGTTTTTTTTTGGGACATGTGAGCGATATGATATACACAATATATGAACAGATGCTTCTTTCATGCTTTTATCACTGGCAAAGTGGACTTGGACCTTTTTGCATTTTTGGGACCTTGAACCGGTCACAGAACTCTCCCGTTGTGTCAGGGGACGACCAGCCCGGCTGTTCGGTGATTCAGAATGTGACCTGAAAATAGCAAGGGCCAACAAAATCAGGGTGCTTCAGTGATTCCTGGGGAGATTCCCTGAAATTCATCCCTGAAACATAGATAAAAATAGACCTTCTGGTAGGTACCTCCCTGGGGCCCGGAATGACCATTGAGTTGGTGTGATTTTTCTCTGCCGCAGCCATTGGGTCTGGTTCTTGGTCGATGCTGTTGGGGTCTGTGGCGTCTTCGTGTTCCAATGACTACGGAGGAAACCCGGGAGGCTTTGAAGTTCACACGGATGTGTAAGTGCCTGGGTCGAGTTTTCAAACATGGGAGGTCGTGGAAGTAGATGAAGTAACTGGAGATCTATAGCTGGGACATGGTGGGACAGTTATCTCGAAATGGAGGATTGTCTATATTCAACAAAGTACCAGGATGTATACCAGGGGATATTGCTTCTCTTACAGAAAATCTGATGAATTGACATTTTACTGATTTAGCCAACAAGAATAGGGGTTGAAGAGGTCTAACCAATGAAGATGCTGGATATCAAAGCAACAAAATTAGTGCCCGGGTATTTTGTTATGTGGTTTTGTCTGAAAATAGGCTACGCCGCAATCGAATGATTCATCATCATGTTCCTTATTAAAATGCCGTGTTTGGTCGTATTTTGTTTCAATGGATTGCGTGAGTTTCCACTGCAAGACAAGATGTAAGAGTCTGTGATTGTTTGATTGCAGGTACTGGGGCTCCCGTAAATGCTTCAATGGCATGGGGTGCCCCTTTGCACACTCGGAGAGCGAACTGTGTGAAAAGCCAAGTCTTCAAGCAACAGGTCTTTGCTACGAGTATGCGAAGACAGGGCGTTGCCGAAAAGGCCAAGCCTGCAACTTCGCCCATGGGCAGCATGAGCTCAGGGCTTCCCCCCCAGCGAAGAAGGCATCAGTGCCACCGGTGTCATGGGTTGCGTCTATGGCATCGGCATGTGGCCCCCCCCCCCCACAAAACACGAGGCTGGACTCAGAGATCGCGATGCAAATCATGATGGTGAACCAACTTCGCAAGGTGGAGGAGATGATGGCGAGGATGACGCTCGAATTGCGCATGGCTTCGGCGACCAGCCAAGGTCTCCACACACCTCCTCACAATCTTGGTGACCCGGTGGATTCCAGTAAGGCTCAGAGATCTCAAAGTGAGCTAAAAAGCATATGGCTTTGAGGAATTGTATTCGAGACTCGCGGTGGTTAATGACTTCCATTCGTCATGAACAGAAGTCGGAGCCGCCGCCTTGGTAGCTGATGCGAAGCACAGCAGGCCATTTTTTTGGATCCAATTGCACAAATCGCAGATCACCCCCAAGCTTTTAGAATCCTTCAGAACCCAAATTTGAGAACTTCTGTGATGTTGTGCCATCCATTTCGTAGTCTGTCTTGGATGTTTTTTTCAGAATCGAAGGGGTTGATCATGAAGAACTGTCGTTTTCTTGCGCTCGATGCTAGGCCGCTAGGCAGCTTCCGCACCTGCTGAGAAACTGCCGCATCTGCTGAACAGGAGAGTTCCAAAGAAGCGAAAAAACAGCGGTGCAGGAGTTTGCTGCCCACCGCTGCGTTGTGTGCGGATGTTGCCAATGCTTAGGCTTAGAATAGGCAACCAACAGGGTCTGCTGTTTTCAACATATTTTTACTGCAGATGAGCCGTTTATTGTTGGCAAACTATGTAAGCTTATTTTTTGCCTCTTGTATTCTTCCGCCAAAGATGGTGGCTCAAATTTGTCAGCATTCTAGCTGCAATATCCATCACACTCAAAGGGCTATACCATTGCACACGGCAAGAAATTGCCCGATGTTATTCCCAGTATTTCCATGAAATATACCATGAAATCCTCATCATACCACATGATGTTCCATGAAATTTCATATCTTCTCATCTGGTTGGTGGTTTGGAACCATGGAATTTTATGAATTTCCATTCAGTTGGGAATGGAATAATCATCCCAACTGACTTTCACTCCCTCCATGATTTTTCAGAGGGGTAGGGCGAAAAACCACCAACCAGATATATTGGATTATCTTCATTTACAAATTCACCACATTTTTTGATTGGATATTCCCATTATTCCCATGACATATCCCCATTGATACCCATTAGATTATAATCAGATATCTTCTGGTTGGTGGTTTGGAACATGGCTTTTATATGCTTTTATGACTTTCCATAGCCACTGGAATTCACCACCTTGCAGGACACGGATATCAGAGGATCATCCCCTTGGTGCTGTAGGGACCTCCTTTCCAGGTCCCGAGATGGAGTGGTTGGTCACCAGCAGTCGCTCCAAGCTTTACATTTGGCGCTTGGACCGCCTCAGCAAGGTGGACGGGGTTGTTGGTTCCTTGGGAAAGATGTGGAGAAAAAACTGAGGTGAGATACATATATAACATATATATATATAATATGTATATTATTAGATATTATTAGATATTATCAGATATACATCCATGAAATAAACCACGGCGAAACTAGTTACTATGTCTAGCAACTTCCCCATCCCCCAGCCCAGTCGGTTCGTCATTTCACCAACGGACAGTCCGAGCCATGTTCGATCGTTAAACCTTAATTTACCCTCTGGTTATTTAACGTAGCCATGGGAAATCACCATTCTTAATAGGTAAATCATCAAAAATCAACCTTACCATCGGGTTATTTAACATAGCTATGGAAAATCCATTATAAATGGAGGTTTCTAGCTGGGAAAATCATGTGTAAATGGCCATGGCTTCCATAGCAAACTGTTAAATAACCAGAGGGTAATTTAGCTATTCAAGACTTTCCAACATGATGAACGACGTGTTTAACCCTTATTTTGCATGATATGGGGATATCATGGGAATTTTTCGTGGGATATCATAGGATTTAGCCTCTAGCTACCATGGCAAACGCTACGCTTCACAAACGATATCCCATAAACAATCACATTATAATATATACATATATATATATACACACCTAAATACCATAAAGTCTCATTAAATTAAATCATGGTAAATCCCAATATGTTCACAAAATCGATCACTTTTCGAGGCCGTGGCGGAGGCTCAAGCGGACGGAGCCCGAGAGGATGATGGGATGGATCTCACGGGGGGCCGAAACGACGTCAGATGGGTAGAAACTCATCCGAAATAATGATATAAACCATTATGATTATGATTATTGTGTTTCTAGTAATTATCATTATTATCATAACTATATTATATTATATTATAATCATGGTTCATAGTAATATGATTATTAACCATTATGATTATGAACCATTATTGTCTCAATTATATAGATAAACCCATTTTTGGTAAATCAATATAACTATATATATATTATATCAATAATCAATGGGAGTATCAATGGGATCACTAATATGTCACCAATAGTCAATGGGATTATCTGATTATCAATATATATCAATATATATATATCCAACAGGATAATTTTTGGTAAATCGATATATATATATATCAATGGGATTATGTACGTTCACGGGCTAAGAATTTTATTTTTGCAGGGTATCTAAGGAATCTATGGGACTTGGAAAAAGGATGGAGTTCACCAACTCTACATGTTTTTTTTGCCAGAATGGGAGATCTATGAGGCGGGGAAGATTTTAAGCATCAACGATGAATCATGAATATGGCTTTGTCCAAACATGAGGGATACCCCAATTTTTCCTTTTCTTATAGGCTTTTATTAGGACTACGTTTTTTAAGCACGATGTGGTGATTTGCCCCCTGGAGATTTGGAGAAATAGCTAAGATGCATCCCACAGCTTAGTGCCGGAAGAGTATAATCCACTAATGGCACAACCATGGTACGTAATAAATTGCACATGTTTATTTGGTGTCGGTTCTTTTTTTTTTCTACCCAGAGGGTTCCATAGACTTTTTGCGAATGTCAACATTCCAAGAACTGACATAAGATCTTACGGGAAACCTGCCGAAACCCAAGATTTAATTGTAAGACACACATGGTTTCCTCCCAAAAGACCAGCCTGGTGAAGCATGAATCCCTGAGCTTGGCAATGGCTCAAATGGAATCTTATTTGGATAAATTTTTCACCACGTGACCAACGTGTCACTAGAAATGATGGTTAGTAAGGATAACTTCAATGGATTTAAGGGAAAATCTACAGGAAACCATGGGTTTTACCATCAAATATAGGGGTTTCCTGTAAATTTTCCCAGCATCCAATTCTGTGATAACTGTCCCAAAATTGCCTGAAATCGTCAGGTGAAGACGATTCAAATCTGATCTGAACATGAGCTGCGGTTCCACTGGTGCCCCTGAGCCGGACCAGAATCCTGGGACAAACCAATTATCCCCAAATTGAACACTCGGGGTGGACACCCACAGAGTTTCACAAAAAATCAGAGTCTTGACTCTCAGACTCTCAGCTTTGTTTTCCCTCAGGATTGGTCACACTTTGATTGGACAACCAGCTGTTTCCACCTCTAAAACCAGCTTGTCCTGTCCTGGGCTTCCCTTCAGACTCCATGGATTTTGCCGAGTGAACCGCCGAAACTTTGGCTCAGCCGCAGCTGTGTGGCATGACGAAGGGAAAGAAGAAGAAGGTGGACGTTGGGGAGATGGGGAGCCACCAAACAGTGGATGGTATCATAAAAAGTACAATGTGAGGCCCCCCAGTTATAAGTTGGTTTGTAAGCCCCAGTAACTATAGTTATAATTACCATAAAACCATAGTTATTGGAGTTATAAACCAACTTAGCTATCTTGGGGGCCTCACATTGTATGTATCATAAATCATATATAATATAAATCATATACCATCTGGTTATGACTAACATAGCCATGGAACTCCACCCATGTTTAAGAACGGTAAACCATCTATTTCTATGGCCCATCTATACCATGGCGAACTGTTAGTCATAACCAGAGGGTAAATCATATACATATATATATATTTAAATCACACACACACATATATATATGTATATATCTGGGTAAATGATATGTAATCATCCCCTTTAGTGGCCCAACAATTCAGGTGAGTGAAATATTCTCATTTACCCATAGATATATACTGTGGATGGTAAATCCTGCACCAGCTGAACATGGGTGGTTTTTCACACTGTTGAAGCATCAACTAATATGGGGTGTATTGATGTTTTTTTTGTTTTTTGTTTTGAGATTGTTGAAGCATCGACATGTGGACAACTGGTGATTTGGAGTTTAGTATCAACTGATCTTTTGCTGCAACTAGGGTGATATAATATGTAATTATATATATATATATATATTATGATTATATATATATATGAACAATGCGAGATAAACTGGAGTGTCTAAGATCGAAGGCGAAACATGTTGGAAACGACCGTTTTTTTTTTTACAACAAAAGATTGGGCTTGGGTCTGGGGGAAGCATCTCATCCAATGGTTAAGAAACGGGGTGGATTCCGGTTTTCGCCAACAACAATAGGGGTTCATAGGCAACAAGTGGGTATGGCTCAAAATGGGGATTTATCCATGAATGGCTTTGGGATACGTGGATATAATCGATAGATAGATAGGTAGATAGTGGTAGATCGTGGTAGATAATGGTAGGTGGGTCGATAGGTATATAGATAGATCGGTCCAGTATTGTCCACTTGATTATAAAAAAAATCAGGTATATTCGCAATTCTTGCAATTTTCAAACAAAACAATGATAATGAAGCCCTGCATTTCAGGGGGGTTCCCCCCCCATTTTTTGCAGGTACATGGATAAGCATCCTAGATATTACCATTTTTTTGCCCCTGAATCTAACTGGGTTTAATCCTATGTTTCTTAAGCAGATATCTTCCAGTAAACTAACATAGCGAACTGAAGAATCACCATTTAAATAGGTATCAAATCAACGGAACTAAATGGACCATGGCTTCCATAGCAAACTCTTAGTTTACCACAGGGTAAACATCAACCAACCATGTTTTATTCAGTTTGATATTAGGTTAAGACCCCTATAATCATCAATCATTATTTACCAGATAGTGCCTGGCACGCGCCGGGGCGGAAGTTTTAAAATAGGAAATGACTCTAGGAAGAAGAGAGCTTGTAGGAAATCGGCTCTCAGCCAAAGAAAGCCTGAATAAATAGGTGAAGGAATGAAGGAATGAAGGGAGGAAGGAATGAATGAAAGAATGAATGCACTTGTGCATGAAAGAATGCATGAATGAATGAATGAATGAATGAAATGGAATGGAATGGAATGGAATGGAATGAAATGAAATGATAGAAAGAAAGAATGAATGAAATGAATGAATGAACTAATGAATGAATGAAGGAATGAGTGCATTAACGAAGGAGCGAATAACTAAGTGAAAGAACTCTTTGAGTGAAGGAAGGAGCAAACAAATCATGAAAAGAATGAATGCGCGGGTCCATGACTCGGAAGCTTGACTGCTGCATCGCTGAGCATGCATCACCTGAGAAGAATTCAGAAACTTCTTTGACGCGAATGCGGCATGTGAGAGTCGTTCCGGACCCCGCAAGGTGCGCGCAGAGAGAGTCTCTCTGGACATTGCGCGTTGGGACCATGGCTTTCAATGCTTTGGTTCAATACTTGCAGTGAGAAGAAGAAACATTGCGTGCATTGCAGTGCGATACTATGAAAGCTTGCTTACGGACTGGTCGCCCGTGGAAGGGGTGTCGACAACTTTCCGAGATCGAGCCCCGCACCCGCGGAAACAGAGACCCTACTTTGGCGACCCCAGAAGCCACATGACCCGAAAAAAACATGCGGTTTCGCGCCCGACTACGTTTTCACCTCTGAATTATCACGTTCCCGAACGCTTACTCTTCTCTACTGCTCCAGCACGCGGGATGATGACAACATGTATTGACATGCTGATGACATGATTAAAAGATTGCCCTTGGTCGCAATATAGTCAAAAAACTACCTTTTGCGCAACTCTTACATTGCGTTTCGCAACCTCCAGCTGCAATCCCGCTTTCCAGGAGCGCCCGAACATCACTCATGCTTGGCTGCACGCAGCCGTGCCAATGCTTTTGGTGACAGCCGCTTGCAAACCCGAATAGCAGGAGCAGCGTGACATTTGTGCGAACGGGGACGATTCCGCGCCGCTCCGAAACCGTCAGTTTTTCAACAGTTTGAAGTGCAAATCGAGCTCTCGCTGCAGTCTCGTGCGCATTTTGCCGATCTCATCTTCCAAAAGTGCTCCGAGAATTGAGAATGTCAGACTTTGAACATGTTCATGTGCAAATCGAGCCTAGCTACAGTCCTGTGCACTTTTTGTCGACAACTTTCCCAGATCGAGCCCCGCACCCGCAGATTTAGGCAAGTAAGATTAAGCAAAGTTTAAGCAGTTAAGATTCCCAGGGTCTCGCAACCCCCAAAGTTACCAAACCCAGGGATTCCCCAGGAGCCGCCGGTCCGGCCGCGACTCTCAGCTGCAGCGGCAGCGGCAGCGTCATCGCCGTTCTACCCACCGGTGGCGCGGCAGGGCGGGGAGGATGGATGCATTGGGGATCCCAAACTCAAAGGAAGTCGATGGGAATGACTAACTTAGTTGGGAAAACATGGGAAAACCAACTTAGATTTTGGGAATAACTTATCATACATAATCATGCGAAGTCCGGGGGTGAGTACCTGTATTGGATTGTTTTGTTGGGGAAAATCTTCATCGGAAACTATGTTTTTTTACCATCAAAGGAACGATTTTCATGTAAACCAATCCAGTGATCAACGGTTTGCGAACTGGAAAATCACAATGTTCATGACTTTTTAAATAGGTACTGTAAATCATCCATAGACACGGAAAATGGATAAACATGGCCAATGTATATAGTTCGATGATTTACCTATGAATGATGGTGATTTGCCATCCCTTGCCCGTCATTACATCCACATTCTATTCCCATATCATGCACACGACCCTCCGGTAAACTAACATAGCTATTGAAAATTGCCCATTTATAGTGGATTTACCCATTGAAAATGGTGATTTTCCATAGTTATGTTAAATTACCATAGGGTATCAACCACTAGAAAGGATTGGGTTAATCACTCACCATTGGGTGGGCCACCAGTATATCCCCAGTAATTTTCCCATGCTCAGCCATTGCTATACACCGTTTTTTAAAAAACTGCGGGGGTAACCATGTTTTGACCATTACATTCACCGGTAGTGTGTCTGAAAATGGGATATACCCCCAATGAGAAAATGATGATCATCCGATGGATTTAGGGCTACACTATTTTCAGACAACCCAAAAAAATGGGAGTTTTATGATCCCATGCATATTCCAGGACCGGCCCTTTAATTGCCATTATTGTTGTTTTTTAATCCGTTAATGATGTATCTTTATATATATATATGGTCATGTATTATATTCGATATAATCAGAGACATTGATTTGTTAATGGATACATTATTATCCATGGAATGACCATTACATTAATAAACAAACCATTTTTTAACCACTGGGTTAACCATGCTTGAACCATTACAACACCATTTGAACATGCCCCTGAGGAGCCTGGATCTGCGGGAAGTTCCCGGGCAAGAATTGGGCCACTCGGCCGTTCTCTCCATCTATTTCTCTCTGTATGTACATATATATATATATACATATATATATGTATTGTGAATCCGTGTCATTGCATTCCAATCAGATCGATGTTTACCACCATGCACCTGCAGGTAACCAGACAACCCTGTTGTAGCACCTTTGGTTCAGGCGAACCCTAGCGGGAGGAAGTGGGTGGATATCCTTAGGTATCAGTGTTTGAGCAATTGGCGAGTGTGGCCACTCTTTTGCAACTGCAAGGACCAGGGGTCCAAAACATTGGTGCGTGGAGAAACAGCCATTTCATTTAAGGATTTGCTGGCCTCCGTGTGTGACGAGGGACTCTTGCCTGTTTTGGGAAAAGAGTCCGACAGTGATCTGGTTGAGGAACTGGAGGAGGAGGCCCGTTGCCAGTGTGGGGAAGTTTTATCTACTCACATTGGTAGCGGAGCCAGCAGGCTCACGCCGCTAGGTTCCAGGGAGGTGGAAAGACATGCCTGAAGCTAGCGATGGTGGAGATCCAAGCACCACCACAACGTTAGTCCCAAATCAGCTTGCAAGCCTGGTACCAACTTTCGATCCTGCCAAAGATGAAATTCTAGAATACACCAAGAAGGTTCAATTGTTGATGAACATGTGGCCGGAAGGAAAATGGACAGAACTTGCAACAAGACTCATTTTGGGTTGTTCAGGTACCGCATTCCAGAAGTTACAACTGCACAGTTCAGAAGTGACATCCAATGAGAAGAAATCGATTCAGAAAATCATCGAACTCCTAGGAGGACAGTGGGGACAGATCCCATTGGAGAGAAAGTATGAAGCAGCCGAGCGTGCTTTGTTTCGATGTGCACAACGAAGTGATGAAACCAATGACTCGTATCTTGCCAGGGCCGACATTCTCTGGCAGGAATTGTCCAGCAAGAGCATGGATATCCAAGACCTACAGGCGTACATTACACTTCGAGGGTCAAATCTGAGTGCTGAGGACAAGAAACGGGTTGTGTTAGATTGCGAAACTAGCACTGACGGCAAGCTCACCATGACCAAGGTCTCAGCAGCAGTCCGCATGTTAGGGGCTGGATTCTTCCAGGAGATGACATCCGGGAAGAAAACTGGAAAACTGAAGACGTATGATGCCTCTACTTTCATGTCTGACAACATGGACATGGAGGAACCACAGAACACACTGCATGCAGAGACAGGTGAAGACTTCACCGAAGAGGATGCCATTGAAGCCCTGTGTCAGGAAGGGGACGAAGACGCCGTCCTGATTACTGATTTCGAAGTCGCTGCATCGGAAGTTTTGCAAAATGATGAAGAACTAGCTAGTGCCTTCAATGCATACGCCGAAGCCAGAAAGCGATTAAGTGACAAAGTGAAATCAAGGGGATTCTGGCCTCCCTCCAAAGGGAAAGGAAAACCGACCTTCAAAGGGGTGAAGGGCAAATTCCAGAAAGGACACCAGTCCAATCGCAAGTCGCTGCAACAGAGGATCCTGTCTTCCCATTGCCGATTGTGTGGAAGGATAGGACACTGGAAAGCTGAATGTCCCACCAGACATGAGACCAGTGCAGGCAGTCGTCCTCAAGCATCGGCCTCGTTTGTCCAAGTCCAAGACAGCCAATCCGATGGCCTGCCACTGGAATTCCTCAACCTGCCCGCACTTGAGGGTCCTATGGATGAAGCTCACCTTAATATGGGATATTGTTTCACTTGTCAAAATGGGGTAAATGATGATCATAACCCAAAAAGTAGGTTGAAGCAAGCACTCATGACATGGCATAAGACCAAAGGCTTTTCCAATGGTCAACACAAGCCCAGGAGTGAAGATCCGATCGAGTTCGCAAAGACCAAATTGCGAAGAAGCCTTGCAGCCCATTCAGCATCAGCCAAGATCCAACCGAGTGAATCTGCCGATAGCGAATAACCAGCTCTTTTTGCCACGTACAGTAGCATGGGGGTTGTCGATCTAGGAGCCACAAAGACAGTTATCGGTAGTCAATTGGTTCAAGGTTTGTTGAATGGTCTCAATAGTCATGTCAGAAAACTGGTTCGTCGATGTCCATGTTCGATAACTTTCAGGTTTGGCAATCAGGGGATTCTACGTAGCGAACAAGCCTTGGTACTTCCAGTCTTTGGAATGTGGCTTAGGATTGCAATTGTGCCAGGATCGACTCCCCTGCTTTTGTCAAACACCCTTTTGCGTGCGATGGGGGCCGTAATTGATACAAGTCAGAAGGTGATTCATGCAACTAAGGTGTCAAAGACCATTCCCATCCAGCTCACAGAAAAGGGATTGTTTCTTTTGGACCTGAACGACCTAGTGGATACGAAAGTGTCCCAGCAGGCCGCAGAGACGCATCAAGTTTCCGAAGTGCCAAAAGTTTGCCATCAGCCTGATATCAATGCAACGTTCAATGTACCACATGACAAGACCACCGACTCATTCATCTCAACACCAGCAACTGACGATTTTCAGGTAACTTCATGTTCACAAACATCACCTCATACATGCACTCCACAGAACCCACACGAAGATGCGAAAGATGCCAACCCACAAGGCATCACCCATATCACAGCCAGTGAGCACCAAAAGTGCACAGAACAGATGCATTCGGTAGATCATCGGTGCTCAAACCACGCCCAATTTGCGAAGAGCTTCAGGATTCCGACCAGAGTTCGCCATGTCCACCTTGAGCATGCGTCTGAAAGCTCTCCAAGTGCCAGGAGAGACACCCAAGTTCAATTTCGACCACATGAGCATGAAGCAGCTGGAGGACAGTGTGATAGATTTCGGACAAGCCCAATTGGGCCTGAAGTATCAGGAAGTATGGGAACGCCATGAAGATTGGGTAACATGGTTCATCAACAAGTACGAGAAGTCGGCAAAGGAAAGTCACCAACGATTCCTCCATTATGTACAGCTCAAGATCGAGCGTGCCGAACTCGATGGCACGAACATCCCTCTGAATGCCGGGCCGAAGACGTCAGCCATGAAACCGAAGACAAAGCCCAAGGCGGCGCCCCGCCAGATCTACCAAGCCCCAGTGGCGACCATGCCCAACATGGAAGAGGAAGAGCTCTTCGAGCTACTGTCGGCGGAGGAGGAGATGTCCATCCCTGCCGTCGAGGTGCCGGGGAATCAAGTTCAACACTTGGAGACCAGGATGCTGCACATGGAAGATGCTCTGAGCCGAATTCTGGCCCACCTGGAGAATCCAGGTCCCACGCCGGAGGACCAATAGATTCATGCCCCAGCTGGGCTCAATCCCTGTATGCAGGTGATCTTGAGGATCATGTGAATGACAATTTGTGTGAGGCACCCGAGACCAATGTAGAAAGAGACATGTTCAACAAGTTGATCAAACAGTTGTCGCGTGAATTGCAGGCATGTCAAAACACACACAGCCCAACCTCGACTCCCAGATGCGATGTTTTGGAAGTGTTTTGTAATCCTCAGAGCCAACTGACTCACCAATGCATACAGCTGGGCCATAGAGCCATGCGATTCGGTTTAGCAGAAGGTGACCTACAGGCACCAGAAGGCCGCCAGAAACTGTTCCAGGTCGTTTTGAAGTATCGACCCAGGCACATTTGGTTTAGCCCCAAGTGCGGACCCTGGAGTGGATGGTCCAACCTTAACGGCAGTAAATCCATACAAGCTTGGGATTCCCTCCAACAAAGTAGACTTCAACATCTGGACCAAGTAGCTCTGGGGGTGGTACTCATGCGTCACCAAAGAAGCCATGGTAATCATTTTCATTGGGAACAGCCGCAGGGGTCCCACATGTTTCGGTTACCGTACTTGCAAGAAGTCAGACAGCATTTGTTAGCCATGGAAGTAGATCTGTGCACTGCCGGTAACCTCATTGATCCCAACACTCAGTTACACATTCGAAAAGCTTTAACAATCATGACATCATCGCGCAACATGTACCAGGACATGCATGGTCTCAAATGTCAAGGGAATCATCAACATCAACAGATCGAAGGAACATGCCTATTCCATGGAAAAAGTGTGAACCGGTCCACTTTCACAGAAAATTATCCCCGAAAGTTTGCTAGAAGGGTTGCCAAGAACTTGTGTCGTGTACAAATTCCCAAGGAACTTCCATACCGCAGTGAGGAAGACCAATGCCTGTGGAACTGGACGTTGGCAGGTGAAACCGCTTCAAGCGAGCGGCCCGCGAAAAGACCACGCCGTGGACTTCAAGCAAGACCGAAGCTCATCCGTGCCAGAGAAATCACAGACTTACCATGGGGAAAACGCACCAGGTTCACAGGAAAAACCACCAACTTAAATGTTGATCAGATGTGGAAAGATGTGTTTGATGATGTACAAAAATTGGCACCCAGGGTAGGCAAGGTGGTTGTGACGGATCCCAAAATTGTGAATACTATTCAGCAACTCATTCTCGATAAGAAGGTTGTAACAATAGTCGCATGCAGGGGTACCAATAGAACCCTTGCTCCACCAGAAAATGTATCCAAAGGGGAAGCCCCATATCGAAGAAGTATCTTCATTGAAAGATCAACTGGAATGATGAAAGCAGAAGATGATTGGGAACTTTGGGAAAACTTGGCCAAACGTCAACTGATTCGTCCGTCACATGCATGCCGCCTGAATATAACGGTCTTTGCTTGCAATCTTGCAACTGCATCTCCATCGATAGCTCCTCGGCCAGAAGCTCCGATGACTGTGCAATCAAATTCAAGTGAAAACCCATTGGCCGAAGCGCCAAATGCAGGCGAATCAAGCAGTCCCGACCCACAGAGTGGACTGACGGAGACTCAGCAGATGGATCTGGGGAACATGAGACAAAGCAAGACCTTCACCAGTCTGACCACGGAAGAACAACAAGCACTCATCCGTGCCCACAAGAACCTTGGACATCCCAATCCCGAAAAGTTCAGCAGTATCATCCGTCAGCAGGGTTTTCGTCCTGAAGTAGCCCGAGCTGCACTCGAGCTGAAGTGCTCGACCTGCCAGTCCCAGATGAAACC